AAAGAAAGAAAGAAAGAAAGAAAGAAAGAAAGAAAGAAAGAAAGAAACTCCCATTTTAGGGAAGTTGTTAGTGGCAACTAGATGTGTAAAGTAGGGTGTGGAGAAAACATTCCAGTCCACAGGTGTCAAACTCGGGACGTTGTGCCAAAAATCAGTGCTGTTGCTGATGTCAGCTTTAGAAGCCATATTGAGATTAGATGCTCCCACGCTGCCACATTTGAACCTGGGAAATTGAGAGGGGGGAATTTATTGGAGTATATCTAGTTAGACATAGCAACAATCTTTTTCTGATTCAAGGTCAGGTTGTTTTGCACATAAGTGAGAGGAGGTCTTAACTTGGGATGGATGGTGATTGGGCCATGTGATGTGATGATGGGTGCAGGGAATGGATTTTGTAGTTTTTACTTATTGCAAGGAAGCCTGGAACTTTCAGATTCGGGGTTCCCCCAGTTGTGCCAGTTTACGATCCAAAATAAAAAGGAACCTTTGAGAAGATTATTGTCTCGGAGTTATTGGGTGGAATGGAAGGTTGCTGGAATGCTGACAGCTCACCTTTTGCTCGCCTTCCTTGCAGATGCTGATGGCCAAATTAACGTCCGTTTTCCGAAGACGCTCTATTTTGCTGACCGACAAACGTGTGCTAATCATGAATGAGGTTCTGACGTACATAAAGCTAATCAAAATGTATGCCTGGGAAAAACCTTTTGCAAAAATTATCACAGGTACCTGAAGTGGGGAGGCGACTCTACCGTAGTTGGTTCGCGTTTCGGTGGAATGCTTTAAACGTGATCCTCCACGCCCCGATTTATGATTCACCTTCAATTGAAGGCGTACAGGGTATAATTTGCAAAATTATAGACCACAGTCTAGAAAAGATGTATGATTGATCCCTTTGTTCCACGTCATTACAGGATGATGTCTTTTTACCCTTTGCAGGCATCAGGGAGGTAGAAAGAAAAATACTGGAAAAGGCAGGATACGTCCAGAGTGTGAACTCTGCCCTTACCTCAATCGTTGCCACGTTAACCATTGTTATGCTGTTTTCCTTCCATACCCTGTTAAAGCATGAACTCACAGCAGCTGATGTAAGATGATGCTTCTCTTTCTTAATTGCCCCATTGTCTTTTATGATGGCTATCAATCCCTAACTAAGATGATCCCAAAATGACAGATCAACAGTCCTAGGCTGCATTAGCAGAGGGATAGAATCAGGATGAGGTGAAGTAGGTAGTACCCTTTTATAATGCCTTGGTAAGACCACACTTGGAATACTGTGTCCAGTTTTGGTCACCAAGGTGTGTGCCTGCGTGTGTATATACACACGCATGCCCACACACACATACACTAATATCATCATCATCTTTTAATGACCCCGTAATCCTTTGTGGGATGGAGTCAGGGCCACTGAATGGAGCGGAGTGTTTACTGGCCAGATGCCCTTCTTGTTGCCGATGTGGAGTTATATTCAGCAGATATATTCTCATTGTGCTCAAAGAGAGATAATAGCTATGTTGGGATTCTAGAAAAAGTGTGGAGAACAAAGGTGATTAGGGGACTGGAAAACATATGAAGAAACCTATTCTCTAGAACAACTGAAGGCAAGACAGGAAGCAAAGGATGGAAACTGGAGATTTTTAAGAAGAGATTGGACAGTCGCCTGTCTGAAATGATATACTATAGGATCTCCTGCTTAAGCTGGGGATTGGACTAGATCAGGGGTCACCAACCTTTTGGACCTCAGGGACCACCAATCTCATAATTTTAAATCCTGCGGACCAGAGACCCTGGGAAAATCCCCCCCCCCAAAAAAAAGTCTGCAGGAAAATTCCCACACCCCGTTTTCCTATCGATCGATTATTCTTTACCGTCTCCAGCTCCATTCTCAGAGGGAGAGATACTTTTGGCTTCATGCAAGGAAAGCAGCAGAAGCAGCAGAAGTCTTTCTTTCTCTCCCCCAAACTCCGCCAGAAATGAGTCTTTGCTGGTGCAGCCTCTTGGAGCAGGATGCCTTGCAGGGTCCCAAAGACTCATTTCTGGTGGAGTTTGAGGGAGAGAAAGAAAGACTTTTGCTGCTTTCCTTGCATGCAGCCAAAAGCAGAAGAAGAAAGAAGCAGAAAGAAGCAGTCTGGTGGCCAGGCCAGGCACATGGGGTGAGTAGGGCAACCCCCGCCTGCCCTTTCCCCCCCTCCCCTCACTACTTCGTGTTGTTTGCAATGAAAGCGACACAAGCCTTGTCTTTCCACGGGCCATGTGGGCGGCGCAGCCTTGTGTTCCTGCACAGCCTGGATTAATTGCTTTGCAGGTGACATTTCTCTGCAGACCACCAAAATTTTCTTGCGGACCACCAGTGGTTCCCCGGTCCGCTGGTTGGTGTAGGGTATCCTGACTAAGCAGAGAGTTGGACTAGAAGACCTCCAAGGTCCTGCTCAACTCTCTGTTTACATCCCCATGGTCACATGATCAAAATCCAAAGGCTTGGCAACTGGCTCACATTTATGATGGTTGCAGTGCCCCAGGGTCACGTGATGCCCTTTTGCCACCCTCTGATAAGCAAAATCCATGTGGAAGTCACTGAGCACCCATGTTGCTAACTTAACTTAACGACCGTGGCAAGAAAAGTTGCAAAATGGAACAAAACTCAGTTAAGAACCATCTCGCTTAGCAAATGTTGGGCTCAGTTGTGGTCGTCAGTCCAAGTCTACCGGTAATGTGCTAGTAATTTTTTTTGCAAATTCTGGCTGACTCCTGAGACTAACTTAAGACAATGTGGAGAGTCCATCCTATTTAGCAACACCAAGCTGAGGTAATCGATGACACCAAATTAGGAAAATAAAACTTGGGGGTTGGAAGTTAGAACCTCTGAAAGGGATGAATCCCGCTCCCGTGTGATATGAAGAATCCTTTTAATTCCTTCTCTTTTACAGGCCTTCAGTGTGATTTCAGTATTTAATACCATGAGGTTTTCAATTGCCATTTTGCCATTTTCAGTGAAATCCCTTGCGGAAGCTAGTGTCGCCTTAAAAAGGCTGAAGGTAGTGCTTTTTTGGGGTGGGATTTGGAAGGAAATGATTACAGATATTTTGGGATATTTAAGCAAGTAGATAAACAAAGAATACCCTCTGTTAGTTACAGAATACACTGGATTCCTTATATTGTATCGTATCTGTCAATGCCCCTGTCAATGCCCCTTTTGCTGTCAATGCCCCTTAATCTATTATTGAAAAATTATATTATACACACAACAATGTGAAATCACAGTTCTTTATGAGGTACAGTTGCAGGAATGGAGTATGACTAGTCTAGTGAAAAGAAGGACCAGGGAAGACATGATAGCAGTGCTCCAATATCTCAGGGGCTGCCCCAAGGAAGAGGGAGTCAAGCTACTCTCCAAAGCACTTGAGGGAAGGACAAGAAGCAATGGGTGGAAAGCAATCGTGCCTACCGTCCCTGTCCTATTGTTTCTTTTTATTTCTCTTATTAAGTATCCATCTCATGTATTCAAACCTATGTTTATTCTTCTACCTGTATCCTGTAAGCGATTGGCAAATCAAATAAATAAATAAAATAAATAAAATAACCGAGGAAATAAGCAACCTAGAACTAAGGAGAAATTTCTTGACAGTTAGAACAAACAGTGGAACAACTTTCCTCCAGAAGCTGCGGGTTCTCCAACAGTGGAGATTTTCAAGAAGAGATTGGACAAGCATTTGTCTGAAATGGTTTAGGGTGTCCTGTCTAAGCAAGGGGTTAGACTAAAAGACCTCCAAGGTTCCTTCCAATTCTGGTATTCTGTTTAGCTGGTTTGGCCTTCATACGCATTGAGGTCCTCCAAAAAAACCTAGGATGTCAAAAACTATTAACATAGTATATATGTACATTCAAGCAATGTGGCCCTTTGTAATTGACTGAATGGAAATTTGGCATCGCGCAAATTTTCTAACTGTCATCCAAGATTTTTTGGTATGGCACCCAACGTACTGTCAATCACTGGAACCAGCACAGCCAGTTTATGCCTTAATCTTTCAACTTCAGTTTTCTTATCTTATACTTGATACTTTCTGATCGTCTCCAATTCTTAGTCTTCTATTCTACTATGCCCTGTCATATCAATTATCCACACTTTCTTCTTTTCGGCCACAGTTAAATTTGGGGTGTTATGAGCCAAGATTTTACCAGTTTCTATTCAGAAATCCCACAATATTCGGGATTTCCTGTGCATTTTAGCTATTTTCCCAACTATATGTTCCCACATTGATATGTCAAAATATATTAGCTTATATATAAAAAGGAAGATAAAGCACAAGAGTCCCACTGCTGATTTTTCCAAAATACTAGACTTTCTTGGTTGTTTTTCTTTGAAAACATTTTGCTTCTCATTCAAGAAGCTTCTTCAGTTCTGAACTGAAGAAGCTTTTTGGATGAGAAGTGAAACCTTTTAAAAAAAAACAAACAAACAAATAAGAAAGTCCAACTGGAAAAAGCATCTTTGGGATAACTATGACTTGGATGATTGAGAATCTCATAGATGCAAGGCACAAGATTTGCAAGTTTCTGTTATTTATCAATAAAATATTCGTATATATTATTCAGTCAAGGTGGACTCAGCTTTCTGTCCTTCCGAGGTGGGTAAAATGAGGCCCCAGATTGTTGGGGGCAATATGCTGACTCTGTAAACTGCTTAGAAAGGGCTATAAAGCACTGTGAAGCAATATATAAGTCTAAGTATTATTGCTATTGCTGGCAAACACTGTCCACTGACAGTAGTTCAATTCTCATCGGCTCAAAGTTGACTCTACTTCCATCCTTCCGAGTTGGGTAAAATGAGAACCCAGATAGTTATGGGGCCATAGCTGACTCTGTAAACTGCTTAGAGAGGGCTAGAAAGACACTGTAAAGCGGTATATAAGTCTAAGTGCTATTGCTATATCTTAGTTCATTTTTTTTTCCTCTTGTAGAAAATTCTCACTATGAAAACGCCTTCTGCGTATGTGACAACCATGCAGGGCTCCAGAAATGCTGTGATGCTGAACAATGTCACCTTATCTTGGGAAAGTGCTTCTGGGGAACCTAGCCATAGCAAAAGTGGGAAAGGAACACTTCTCCATCAGAAAAAGGTCTGCAAATCCCCTCCCAGAATAGATGCGGTCATTTCTCACTCTCAGATATCAATGACTAGGAGCAATATCGACTGCAGCTTCATCCTGAGGAATATAAATATTATAGTAAAGAAAGTAAGTATATGGGAACAATAATATTTTAAACCAAAATCAACCTCAGTGATAATTGAACTCGTAAGAGGTTAAGATTTGGTTTGGATATTAACAACCTTTGGATTGATGGGGAAGATACCTTACTTCTGTAATATAGCTTGCCTTCCATAGATGAACTGTGTATTGTATGGGTTATTGTGTGTATTGTGTGGGTCAGAAGGAGGGCTGAGAAAATGTCTACCAACCCCTCACATCCTGGACATAAATTATTGCAACAATTCTCCCTTTGCTATCGGGCATTGCATGTCAAAACAACTAAACACAAGTTTTTTCTCTCATGCCATCACTCTGCCAAACACCTATTTCCCACAGTGCGGCCATAGGTCTATTTACCCTTGTGTATGGGTATAGTATTATTATCAGCCTGTCCACCTTCTCTACTTCTCCCTCTGATATCAATAGTAAAGGTAAAGGTTCCCCATGCACATACGTGCTAGTCATTTCCAGCTCATCTCTATTACAAAGCCGAAGAGCCAGCGCTGTCCGAAGAAGTCTCTGCGGTCATGTGGCCGGTGTGACTAAACGCTGAAGGTGGACGAAACATGTTCCATTCCCATCAAAATGCTCCCTATTTTTCTACTTGCATTTTTATGTGCTTTCGAACTGCTAGGTTGGCAGAAGCTGAGACAAGTAATGGGAGCTCATTCCGTTACGCAGCACTAGGGATTCGAACAGCCAAACTGACGACCTTTCTGTTCTACAAGCTCAGCATCTTAGCCACTGAGCCTCTGCATCCCACAGCTGATATCATTATTATGATTATTATTACCCTGTCATTTTGCATGTACACTGAGAGCTTCTGTACCGGAAACAAATTCCCCGTGTGTCTAATCATACTTGGCCAAATAAAATATTCCAATTCTAAAGTATTCTAACTACTGCTATGTACAAATTATACTCATTTTTTTTCTTCCCAGGGCAAAGTTTTGGGGATTAGTGGCAATGTCGGAAGTGGAAAGACCTCGATCCTCAAGGCAGTATTAGGACAGGTATGTAAATGTCTACATTTTTTCCCAGTTCAACTCTAATGTAATATTTTACAATATTTTACAGTTAACATGGCTTTGTCCCCTGACGATGCTATGCTGATCAAGTCAAAACTTCAGTAATTCTTTGCTAGCCAAAGTTAGGCCTATCGTGCATGAACTATACATCATTCTGGTAATATGCTGATCTTCTCAGCTCTTATGGTTAATGCATACCAACATTATCCTGTCGGTAGCAGGTGTTTTACTATTTACTTAAACAGAGGAAGCAGATCTAAAATTTCATGCATTTGCTCTCCAACTCTGTATACAAATTGCATTTTGGTGCATTAAAATGGCCAGGACAGAGCCTTGAACCATTTTAAAAAATGATTCATTCAATGGATAGTCGATTTTCAGTTTGTGTATAAATATAAGAGGTCCTGATCAGATAGTATTTCTAAAGATCAGGTTTCGTAAGCTCCCTTGAGAAGACGTAGGAAAATTTGTAGAATTAAATATTTATGCAACTGCAAACTGTGGGAGGGACTGAACTGTACAGATGAAGAAAATTCAATCTGTCTGATAATTCTTGGTGTAGGAGACATAATAAAATCTTTCTCCAACCATAATTCCCAAATTACAATAAGAGCAAAGAAAATGGTGTAGGTCTGCTTGGGCAGAGGGATTGGACTAGATGACCTACAAGGTTCCTCCCATCTCTGTTAATCTGTAAAATGATCACTTCCACTACATTTTACACAAGACCCAAATTTGGAGAGCAGACCTGATGTCTTATTTGGCCCTGATGGGAGGGCTGGTCTTAGTATGCAGAGTTTTCTCTCCCCTTTCCTAATTTTCCATTATTTTCAAGTTCTCCATCAGAAGCAAAATAGGTATCTAAGCGCTGTGATTTATCACAGATAACAAGGAGACCCACTGGAGCAGATCTGACATGCAACCATTCCTTCTGTCCACTTCAGATGTATCTGTATCATGGGAATGTGGTGGTGAATGGCACTTTGGCGTATGTTTCCCAGGAAGCATGGATATTTCATGGAAGTGTCAGGGATAATATACTGTTTGGAGAAGACTACGATGAACAAAGGTAACTATAAAAAAATGTCAGCAAAAACAGAGTTCAGGAGGGCTATGTGTTGCCCACCTGAGTTCTGTTTTGGGCCATGATGGCCTCTTGTAGTCCTCTGCCAGCGACAACAGACCATGGAGTTTTCGCTGGCAGAGGGCTGCAGGAGGCCATCACATCAATGAATGATATTGAGCTGGCTATGCCCACCATGGCCATTCACGTCCCGCCTCAGCCATGTTCCCATAATAGTCAAAAGTCAAACACAACCCTCAATGAAATCAAGTTTGACTCCCCTGGCCTACAGCAATGTAATATGGCATCCAGAAGGTCCTAGTTGAGTTGCTTCATCTCCTGGAAGGGTTGGAAGAATCTACTGTGAACCAACACAAACAGCCATGATTGGAGAACTTCCAAACTGACATTGCAGCTTCATGCACCGGGAAGTCTCATTATTGCATGAGATGCATGTCCTCTAAAACAACCATGTTTGTCAAAGTTGAGGAGAAATGAAGAACATATCCCTCAATCCCAGAGAACTGGAAGTCTGAGGGTTCTGTGTAGTATCACCTGTTCCCAGCACTGCACTCTTCTAGACCCATCAAGGACTACTCTCCTTGAAAGACTCTACATCAAGAAAAAAAAAACAGTTGCTGGATCTTTGTTCTGCAATCTCTCAAAATTATAACTTTTTCAAGCCTGAGATCAACCTTAACCTTTGATTATGAGCCGTGGTGGCGCAGTGGTTAGAATGCAGTACTGCAGGCTACTTCTGCCTGACTGCCGCCTGCCAGCAGTTTGACAGGGAGATCCCTGTACAACATGCAGGATGTAATAAAGTAGTTAGCTAAAGTAGTTAGCTTGAACTCTACATGTGGAGGTTGAACTCTACATCTGGAGGTTGTGCCTGATGGTATTTTTAACCAAGAGGGGCTGACAAGACAAAATAATTTAGATGGGTTTAATTGAAATGTACATACTTGAAATTTTAGTGTGGTAATTAGGTACAGTTAACCTTAACACTCCCCATATATTTAATGTTCTTTTTTGAACGCGTCAAGACCAAAATTACAATTTGGTTGGCCATTTTAGAAGGTCTTTGAGGGCTTCACCCAAGGATTCTAAGGGCCACAGGCAGGTCATCAGCTGAACAACCTGCATTAGAGTAATCATGACAAGACATGTCTTAGCTTCTCATTTTCAAACAGAGTTTATGTATTCCCCAGGAAAACCTTTGCTTTTAATGAAACCAAGGAAGCTGTTCTTTCTTATTAGTTTCCTAAATATTATACCCGACCAGTGTACTCAGCTGTGAGAGTAAATGGTTGCTAAATATCACTTCTGTCATTTCCTCAAATTATGGTGGAGTGGATCAAAAAGAAAAAAAGAAGAGAAAAGAAAAGAAAGTCTATTCCAGACTTAGCAGGAACAAGCAAACAAGCAAACACATCTCCCAAGAGCACATTTTAATACCTCTTCAAAATGGCTCCAGGGAATATGACTAGCATGTCACGAGCCATTAGATGCTGCAGGAAAGCGTTAAGTTTTGCTGCTGAAATGATCTGAAATAGAAAAGCAACCCTCAGTTCAAATATTACATAAAATATCTAAGGGTAAAATAATTGATAAGGCCCAGTTATTCAAGTGCTTTCTTTGCTTGAGTTATTTTCCATCTCAGCTGGTTATTGTAAGAACTCTCTAGCTTGAATTTTTTTTCGAAGAGGTGCTATCTAGGGAAGAGTCAGATAAGAGGAAACATAGCCCACAGTTACGTAATGGGTGGAACAGGAGTTTTACGAGGGATCCTTAATGCTGAGTAACAGTGACACTCCAGTACTCAACATTAATTGGTTCTGGTAGACACGATGAGTACCAAACAAAAATTTTCCCATAAGGAATAATGTAAATAAATGTAATGTGTCCCAAATCCAAATGCAAATTTTTAAAGGCAATGTATTAAAAAAACAAGGTTGTATATAACAGAGTTGTAAGGGACCTTGTAGATCATCTAGTCCAATCCCCCACCCAAACAGGACACCGTACATACTGGTATCATTACTTTACATGAGAAATAAACCTAGAAATTAATAAATACTTAGATTAAATAAAATAAAACTTCAGTTTACCTGTAGTGATGAGGGGGAGAAAAGCACAAAAATACACAAATTGAACACAGAAGCTAAGATAAGACTGGAAGAGAATGTGAAAAGGGCAAGAGTTACCCCATGACTAACGTGGCATCCTTTGTTTCGGCTGGAAAGGTTAGCGAGTCACGAGGCAACCAGCATCAATAAGTTCTAGCTTGCGGGTTGAGTACTAAAGAAACGATGAGTACCGGGATGAAATTTTCCTGTCAAAATGCACCAAGTACCAAATTCCATGAGTTTCAAAGCTGTTGAGTCCCGAGGTACTTCTGTATAAGAGGCTATACAGTTGATGGTGGGAAAATTGTACTTTCAAACTTGCAAGGTTCTATTAGTGCAGCTTTACAATAGAAATAGAATTAGGTTATTTGGTTATGTCTGGTCTAGCTGTTTAAGGCTGAGACGGAGTCAAGACTGGAGAACTGGCAATACTCAGCATTGAAGGGGTCTTCTCCAATAATAAACACAGTAGTGCTACAAGACTCATTTCTAGAAGTGAAACAAATCTGCTGAGAATCGTTGCTTGCAGTTCAGCTCAGTTTTAATATTTTAGGTATAATCATATCATCAACATTTGCAGTCTCAAGACAGATATGGAACGTTTATCCTATGGAGATATGACTGAAGTAAGTATGATGTGTGTTTATTCAATTTCAGGATGCTAAATTAAACTGCCAACTTACTGTTTGCTTATTTTGTGTATTGGTATCTCGCCTCATGGCAACATATTTGGAGAACTCCCCTGATTTTATACATGTGGCTACTCAGTGAGGTACGATGGATGGAGAGAGAATGATTGATGTCCAATCTCCTGGCCAGTTGGTTAATTAATGACAGCATTATATTTGCTTTTACAAGAAAGAAAAATGCATCACTGGGCCTGAAGCCAATTGGTAAAACTAACCTTAGATATTCTACCTGGTATAAAGGGTTCAAAACCTCAATCTTAATGCATGTTAAACATCTTCAGATGTTACATCAGATTTGTGAAACAGGGATACAGATGGGTTTCCTATAATTTTTGCAAAGAAGACATCAGAGGGGGTATTCTACTGGTTTGGCCTGGTTCTGCCAAGCCGCTAGTGGCGATGAACAGCAGAGACCGGACCAGTTGCCCCTGACTCTCTGCTGTTGGGCCCACCCACCCAGGCTCCCATATTCACCTTATCCTCTGCTTTTGAAGTGCAACTGCTTTACGTGGTATAGCAGAGTGCTGCACGGCAGCTGCTGAAGCGACTGGGAGAGTGCAGGCTTGCAGGAGGTGAGTTGGAAAGCCTCTGTGCCTGCGCAAAGCGTGCATTTGGTATGCGTGTGCATGCCAAGTGTGTGCACACACGCAAAGCATGCACACCAAGCCACGCCCACTGAACCGGTGGTAAAACTTTGTGAATCCCAACACTGGGTGACATGATTCTGATTTCAGGGCTGCTACAGATATAGACTGACTTTCAGAACATACTAAGCTATTATTGGGTTAGTCATGGCTTGTTGGATAAATCACAATATGCTGTGCATGAGGTAATAAGCCACAAAGCATGGCTAATACACCCCTGGCTTCAAATAACATGGTAGGCTAATGTAAACTGGGATTGGATCCAGCTTGCTGTGGGAACTTATCTGTCAGCTGATCAGTAACGGGTAGGCCAGGATGTTAAACCAACCGTGTTTTGCTAATTTAATTTTGATGTGTTTCATAAACCCAGCATTTGTCATAATACATTGAGCCTAAATTGGGTCATGTTGTATTTTTATCACCAAAGAATTAGTGGATCTGAAGGAGAGAGAGAGAAAAAAAGTTGCTTTAAATATTCCTATTTTATTGTCTGAGCAATCTGCTGTATTTTCCTGGAAATGACTGGAATACTAGCAAGTCTGAACCCCGGGGAGGAAAAAAAATCTATTCTAACAAGATTTGGCATTTTGTCCCTCCAAGCTAGCTTGTCAGTTTACATTTTCATTCTCGGCACTCTGGCTTGCAACACGATCGAACTTGGGACTCATAGTTACGAAATAATTTTGCCCTGGCTACTCTGTTCAACATCTGTGGACGTTGTGAAAATGGCATTATGGCCTCACTGGAATTCTTATAGCTGCTATTGATTTCCGAGTTTCTGACATGCTGAGAGATTCCTCGGAGAAAAATCCTGAACATATCTTTTTAGGAATTCCCTGTAAACATATATGCCATATAATTGGTTGCTTGCTGTAAATAACATATATGGTGAAGGGCCAGGATTATGGTTAGTTACGGGGCAGGAAGGAACCACACAAACATTATCCACAGTCCCAACTCTGGAACTAATAGCACCTCACCATAACAATTTCCCAAAAGGAAAGAGATAGAGTCTTCTACCTTTAAACTAAGCCTCTAAGTCAAATTAGTCACTCTGCAGCTGTTCTTAGAAAAAGTAAAAAAGAGCAAAAAACTGGCAAAAGATCAGAGGTCAGGAAAATCTCATAATTTGTCAGCCCTTTGAGGTCAACCAAGTCAGAAAATAGATGCCACCAGGACGGCTGTAAACTATAGTTGCAGAGTAATGTAAGAGAACTTGACCGGGAGTTTCTCCCCTGTGTTATACCAAAGAAAATCAAGATGGGACAATCTTGATTGAGTTTTTTTCTCACTCTCTCCTTTCTTGCAGGGCTAAGATAGTGTTTTTCCTAGGCTGTGGAGTACCTTATTCAAGTACATTCCTCCATGTAATTCAAGCAGCAATCAACTTCAACTCTTTAGAGGAAGTGATAGGAAGGATGCATGGTGTGGTTGAAGCCCCATCATCAACAAGACAATCATAGTTTTGTGATAAATCTATGGTTGTGGATGTCATCTTAACTTTTTTGTTTTCTCTCTCCTTTTCATGCATGGATGTCCCTGTTCCCTTCATAATTTATCAGTACTTGGGGCCTAATCTTCTTTTTTGCCTGCTAAGATTTATCTGTCTCTCTGCAGAATACAACAGTTGGCCAAAATATCTTTCAGAAAATTAGGCTGACTCTACGGTACTCTAAGATGAACACCTAGCAGCTCTATCTGCTCTAACAAAAAAGAACATTATGATCTATGGAATAAAGAATCAGCCCTCTGAATGTTTGCCATAAATGCTGAAAAATTTCATAACCTGACAATGTCACATAATGTTCACATTGCAATAAAGATAGAAAGCTGGGTTTTTTTTTTTAAAGTGGTTATATGAATATGATATATTTGGGTTTGATTGATGTCTCCCTTCTGTTTTTTTAAAGATAGGAGAAGGGGCTCTGACCCTTTCTGGAGGTCAGAAGCAGAGAATCAGTTTAGCTCGTGCTGTGTATGCAAACCGGGATATTTATTTATTGGATGATCCTTTGTCCGCCGTGGATGCTCAAGTTGGAAAGTCTATTTTTGAAGAATGCATCAAGAAAGCTCTTAAAGAGAAAACCATCCTACTGGTATCACATCAGCTGCAGGTAAACAAATTGCTGAAAGAAATGGGAAAGAACTATATAGGGGCCACGATGGTGAACCTATGGCATGCATGCATGCCTCCCGCCATCCAGCAGATCTTCGGGTCTCTGCCACACATGCACAAGGGGGCGCACATACGGGAGTTGAACATACATAGCTGGGTGCACATGTGCAGGGGCAGGGCTCATGCACAGGGGTCTTGCAAGCATGCTTGAGGTAATGGGGATTGTGCGTGCACGTGCAGGGGTTGCATGCACGTGTGTGGGGGTGTGGGGGTCATGCATGCATGTGCGGGGGCAGGGCACATGCGTGTTGCATTTTGGGGATAAGTGAGCACACACGTGCTCTGGGCACTTGGTGCTGAAAAGGTTAGCTATCACTGGTATAGGGAATGGCTATGAGGAATAGCATCCTAAATCAGAAATTCACCCAGGGATGGAGTTTGGATGAAAGTAATCCAATATAGGTAGTGATGGGATTCAAAATAATTTAACAACCGGTTCTCTGTTCTAACGATTTCTTTCAACAACCAGTTCACCAAATTGCTCAGAAAGTTAACAACTAGTTCTCCTGAACTGGTGCGAACCGCTGAATCCCACCACTGAATATAGGTAGACACAATTGAGTCCAACATTTCGGTGGCTGAGGGAGACGTTTGTTAAGTGAACTTTGCCCCATTTTATGACCTTTCTTGTTGCAGTTATGAAGTGAATCGCTGCAGTTGTTCAGTGAGTAACTCGGTTGTTAAGTGAATCCGGCTTTTCCCCCATTGACTTTGCTTGTCACATGGCCGCAAAAGGGGAATCACCGTCATAAGATAGTCTCAAGATCCAGACAGACCTTGACAGACTAGAACACTGGGTTGTATCTAACAAAATGAAATCCAATGTAGAGAAAAGCAAAGTCCTACACTTAGGCAAGAAAAACCAAAAGGACACATATAGACTGGGTGAAACCAGGCTTAGCAGCAGTAACTGGGAGAGGGATCTTGCAGTCTTAGTGGACAACCAGCTAAATAGAAGCCAGCAGTGTGCAGCAGCAGCCAAAAAAGCCAACGCAATCCTAAATTGCATTAATAGAGGGATACAGTCAAGATCAAGGGAAGTACTAATACCACTCTATAAAGCCTTAGTAAGGTCACACCTAGAGTACTGCATCTAGTTTTGGTCACCACACTATAAAAAGATGTTGAGGCTCTAGAAAAAGTACAAAGAAGAGCAACCAGGATGATTAGGGGACTGGAGACTAAGGCATATGAAGAACAGTTACAAGAACTGGGCATGGCTAGTCTAGTGAAAAGAAGGACCAGGGGAGACAGGATAGCAGTATATTTGAGGGGCTGCCACAGAGAGGAAGGGGTCAAGCTATTTTCCAAAGCACCCAAAGGCCAGACAAGGAATAATGGATGGAAACTGAACAAGGAGAGATTTAATCTAGAAATAAGGAGAAATTTTCTGACAGTGAGAACAATCAACCAATGAAACAGAAGTTGCCCTTGGAAGTTGTGGGAGCTTCCTCACTGGAGCCTTTCAAAAAGAGATTGAACTGCCATTTGTCAGAAATGGTGTAGGGTCTTCTGCTTGGGTTGGACTAGATGACCTATAAGGTCCCTTCCAACTCTGATTATGTTATAAATATGAGTCAGTTGCCAAGGGTCCGAATTTTGATCACGTGACCATGGAGATTCCGCAAAGATCGTAAGTGTGAAAAACAACCCCAAATCACCTTTTTTCGGTGCCGTTGTCACTTGAATCACTCTTTATGAACAGTTGTAAGTCAAGAACTATGTGCAAATCATTTCTGCAAGATGGATTCTGACCTTTTTGGAAATCTTTTAAAAGCTTTTTAAAATAATTTATAAGATGGTGTTGGTTTTTTAAAAATAATTTTAAAGACTTTATCGTCCTGGGACCTTTAAGACTTCTTTAGTCTCGCTTTCTTCTGAGAATATGCCACTCTATTCCCCAAACCCCAATTTACATATTTTTTCATCTTTCTTCGTCAGTATGTCTTCAATACTTAGCATGTTCAACCAATGTTCATCCCCAAGCTGCTTTCTACCACCAGCCCTCCATTCTCTCCCCCATTTTTTTTTAAATTCCTGCAAATCATTAGAGCCTCTTCAGAGCTGCTAATATTTTTCTCTGGTGTGTGAATGTTCCCTTCATAAGGACCTACATTTGGAGAGTAAGTGTGCTATTAGTTCAGGAGTAACAAGCATTCTGGGTTTTATGCCCCTGGAGAGAGGCAATGGCACAGTGAGTCTAACATAACAGAAGATGAATTGAGCAGACAGGTGGTGGTGTGGTTTGGTTTTCAGGCAGTGATTGTGGGTTGGAGTATTGAGGTCAGCAACCATTCATCCTTTCCACAGTAGATGCGACATTTGCAGGTCTTTTGAGTCTTTGCCACCGGGTTGTTTAACCATTTGTTGTGGTTAAAAGACTTCTCAACAAACACCCCCACCATTGTATTTGGTTATTTCATCTTCCCTCCTCTTTTCTTGGACAATAAAATATCTTTTCCATACCAGCAGAGGGCACAGAAGGCATGAAATTCTCCTTAGAGCCCTTGATCCACTTAAAACAGAACAGGAACAGAGATGCTCATTTTAAAGAATGGTGAGAATTTGTATCGTCTGACCTAAACAGAGCCCTTGGGGCTTACAGATTGTACATTCTTCCCAAAGCAATAGCAATTTGTTGATATCTTTCTGTTTTCTGTAATAGTGCTGCTGTTTCAGCCAGGTCTAAGAAACCAGACTGTGCCCTATAAACATATTTTTCTAAAATTTGCACTCTTTTTTCTGTTGAACAGAAGCAGTGATCTGTGCCTCTCTGTCTCTGTGTATTTTATCTATCTACCTTTTTCCCATTGTGTGTGTGTGTGAGTGAGAGAGAGGGAAGGAGGGAGGGAGAGAGAGAGAGATGGAAGTATATATACCTGGCAAAATCCATTTTATTGGTTTGATTGAAATTTGTGGTCCAGTTCAGTTCCAGCTTGAATCCACTTTGATTTCAAAAATCTCTTCAATTCACTTTGAATGTCTAACCTAATACTTTCATTCAAACTTCAAAAAAATTGATTAGAATAAAGGGCTCTGGGGCACACACAGAAATTCTTCAAAATGATCCAGATCAATTATTCAGTGGCATTAGTTTGACTGGGCGGTTGCAACTGACTTCCTGATTCAATTCGGAAATCTCATCTGATCCAGAGATTGGTTTCCATACGGCTTTCAAATCAAACCTCCAAACTGAACGTTTTTATGCTGCCACAATACGGCATACTACACCCGTCCATCCACCTTTCTTCTCTCTCTTTTTAAATTGCTATGTTTTATTTAATTGAATCTCTGTATCTTTCAGAACCAACCATCTTGCAATCTTGCCTGCTAACGGCAGAGAGTCCATTCACAAGAATAACCAAAATGGGAGGTTTAAGAAATGGCTTGCTTAATATACTACCCAATATCCAATCCGCACGTATAAAGGTTTAGATGTTGGCCTCGTTTCAAAAGAGAAAGGGGAAGGCTGAGTGTGCAAGACTGATAAAAGGAGGGAGGGGAAGAGTCCAAGGGACAGAAGTTAATCCATGATAAAAATGCAAGACTGATAAAAGTGAGGGAAGGACAGACGTTAATCCATCCATGTCCTTGGACGGCATCTAGAAGCGGCAATAATTTGAGAGGTAGCGTGACCTGCTGACACCTCTTCCTTTGCACTGGCGTCCAAAGATTTTTCTTAATTTTAGCATTCTTCAAACATTGCCGTCTTATCTCTGACTTAACCAGGGTGGCCGAAGGAAGGTTTGCTCTTTTTCTTCCTTACCTTCATGTCCAGACTGCATAATTTGCCTGTAAGAACTTTTGAAACTCTTATCGGCCAAACGAGGACATACAGGCAATCCTTGACTTACAACAATCCGTTTAGGCTGTCAAATGGGGCAAAGCTCACTCAACGACAGTCTCGCTAAGTAATGGATGCTCAACTGTGGTCATAAGTCAAGGATTACCCATCCCCAGACCCAGGAAAGAGGGAGGCATGAGAAAGAAACTCAAAACCAGGGGTGGGATTCAAATAACTTAACAACCGGTTCTCTGCCCTAATGATTTCTTCCAACAACCAGTTCATCAGTGGTGGGATTCAATTTTTTTTTACTACCAGTTCTGTGGGAGTGGCTTAGTGGGCAAGGCATGGCTTGGTGGGCATGGCAGGGGAAGGATACTGCAAAATCCCCATTCCCTCCCCACTCCACTAACTTGCTTTCCAGCTCCGTTGCAGGACAACCTGTGCAGGACAACCAAAGAAGACCCAGCCAATCAGCTATGGGCATGGTTTGGTGGGT